TGTCTATGAACGCCTTGGTGAGAAAAGGCCCCAGCAGTGCAAAACTCCTACTCAGAGCAGGCTATGTCACCCAACCATATCATTAAGTGGGTGGTTACCTAGCTTGAAGTACTTCACAACAGGAAATCAAGAAAATTCCAGGTCGCTGCTGGAGGAGGGTAAGGCCAACTGCGTGTAATCACAGCCTGTCCTGAGGACCTGAGTGAGGAATTGACTCATAGCCAGCTGTGGTCCTCTAGTCTCTACTGCCAGATAAGGATTCTCACTAACTCCCTCCCACGAGCTGCTGGTCACGACTTCTCCTTTTAGCTGATGCTGAGTGTATCACAGAAACTGCGAGCTGATGACTCGTGCCGCTGTTACTCACAACTGGATTATTACGGGGCAGGGAAGGGAGGGAAGACAAGCTCCTTAGGAAAAAGGCTTTGAGCAACAGCATTACTTACTCAAACAGGACCACTGCAAAAGACTGCACAAGGCGGTAGAAGGTCGGCTCTGAGACACACTTGGAGTTGCAGCGCTGTCCGGGAGGAGGGGAGACAGGTCATCAGGGCAGCCAAGGGGCAGAGGCGCACTGCAGCTCAGAGAGGCTGTGGGTTTACCACGCTGAGCATCTCTCAAGGCAGCTGGGATGAGAGCCCAGGACCATAATAGCCTCCCCTGCTCTACAGAAACCAGGACCCTGGCAGGTGCTGGCACCCGGCACATGACTACAGCTCATCAGAGCACAGGCAGACGCTTTCCTGCATCTCTTAGGAACTCCACACCCTCACTCCCACCCCCACACAAAAATAGGGAGGAAAAAACCCCCCAATGACAACATTGACTATTTCTGGGTAGTGGATTTATGAGTTTTTCTAGTTTTGCTTACCTGCATTTTCTAATTTTTCTTTGAAGAATAAATTATTTGTGATAAGAATACTTTAAAAACCAAGAACTTAAGCAGCTTTACAGAAAAAAAAAAAAAAAGAACCCACTGGATATTTATAAAACTTAATTCTTCTCTGAACTTACAGGCTGTCATTGTCCTGAATATACCTTTAGAAAATCTGAATATTGTAGGTTACTTAATAAAAATATGCATGGACATACCCCACATGCTTGCCTTTAAAAAACAAACTTTTCTGGAATTTCGTGTGGTGGACAGGCCAGTTTGCTCCCCCATTCTTTCCCAGTAGGGCACTGAATGAGCTGCTGCCCACTTCCCACTATTCTAAATAGGCCTTTTCACAACATCTCAAGGTGTTACTTTTTCTGTTGGGTCATATCCCTTGACTGTTTCTCCTGAGTGGAGGAATTAAAAAGACAGAGATGGTGCAACAGCACCAGCCCCCTCCCCACCACCTGCCCTTACCTGGTGCTCTCCCATCTCACCTCCCCTTACCTGGGCACTCTTCCCAGCACCTGCCCTTACCTGGGCGCTCACGTATCGAGCAAACCACTCCCGGCCTTTTCCACATTCACTGCTACAGTACTCCCCAAACTTGGCTTTCTCCTCCTGGTCCAATTCCTCCCTGGAGAAAAGAGCAGAGGGGAAAAAACTTTCAATCCTCTGGAACAAAAAAGGTGACAGTAGGGGAAGAGGAAAGAGAGGAACTAATAAGCACTGCATCCCAGCTATGTATAGCTGCCTGACCTACTTCAGTTCATCTGACCCTCTGGGTAACCCTCTCGAGGAAATGGTGTCATTTCTATTTCATAGATGAGGAGACTGGTTTGGAGGGTCAGACACAGCTGGGGAGTGAACAGGGCTCCATCCAGACTTCCTGGCTCCAAAGTCCACATTCTTCCTCTCTTGTCCTCCTGCCTCCAGTTAGGTGGTCCAGGTGGCACAGATCCACCCACTGAATTCAGGAATGCCTCAGTCCCAGGAGGACACGTGTCTGATGCCACCTCCCACCAGTCAGAAGGAGGGCATGGCTGCTTATTCCTTTGAGCTTGTGAACAGCCATTCTGCTCACCTCTGTCCTCTCTGTGTGTGGGGGCTGGAGACTGGGGGACAGTAGGGGGTCACCACCTCCACGGTGGACAAAGTAGTCACTGGTCTCAAATCACTTCTGATCACTCTTCATAGGGGGTGAATACTCCACCCCAAGTGTAATGACTACGAAAATGAAGCAGGGGCTGAGGCTCAACTGGCTTATGCAATATTTCTTTTATTTAAGGTTCTGTAGAAAACATCTTGGTCTCATTTATCCCTAAACACCAGATGAAATACGACAATTTGCCAGCCATTTGCAGTGATTTCTGGAATGCTCTTGAAAATGCATCTGATCCAGCTGTCCACGTTCCATGATGCCGACAGGCTGCCACAAATATAGACCAGGCTTCTTGGCAACCTGACGAGCTTTGGGGCTCTCTTCCTTTTCATTAACTGGGTGTGTGCTCAGAGAAAGCTGACTAATGTCAGTGTGAGTCAAACCATGTAAGGAGGAAGCCACATCTACTGCTCTCCCAGGATGCGTTCAAAATGAAACGTACATGCATTTTAAGAGGGTCAGTGAGATGGATTATCATTTGAGACTTTCCTTTTTTTAACTGCACGGGAAACTGAGGCATGTCTGAGAAAGGCAGACCCCAACTTTGCCAGTTTATAAACAAGGGACCTAAATCACAATAGAAAAAAATGGATTCTTTGCAGTGTGTCAACGGGCAGACATTCTTATTGCTTTAACGAATTTGGAAAACTTCCCCTTCTTCCAAAGCTCCCCAGGTTGTAACATGCGTGAGTGGTCCAGAGGCTTTGCTAAAAGGCAGATTCAGACCAGTGGGGCTGGGTGCTGCCCGAGACTCTGCATGTCTAAGAAGCTCCCAGGGATGCTGATGCTTCCGGTCTGCAGAAGACAATCTGAGCAGCAAGACCTTCAGCCCTGAACGTGCTGCTGTGAATGATGTACGGCCTCCAGTCAACACCTGCCACCGTGAATCTGCGTTTGTTTGCCTCCCCTCACCCTGTCTGAGATGGTAATACATGAGGGTGGGAGAGCTAGAGGCCTATCCACAGATTCCCTGCTCCTCCCTCTGCATTCTAACTCCCATTCCTCTTCCTGCTGCTCCCACTGTCAATGCTCCCTCCCTACCCCTTCAAGAACCGAAGGAAAGGCCAGAAAGAGGTGTGAGGAAGAGTCCCCGCCCTAGCAGCTGCTTAAAGCTCAGCAGCCCATGAGCATCACAAGGAGTGTGGGTCACTGAAACTTCTTGCCTTATATTGCTACTAAATTTAATGTCAGCTAATAATTGCAGTCCCCTAGCTAAGCATGACTCTGACATGGAATGCCAATGAGGAGTTATCCTGAAAGCTCTCAGATACTGGGAAAGTGAAACTAGTGTCCTCTTAGATTCAGCAATGATGCGGTGAGGGTGTCAGTGGAGAGGTCAGAGCAGTGGTGGGAGGAAAGGAAGGGTGAAAATTCCCCAATTGGTTCTATCTGCAGCCCTGGGTGGGGTTGTGAACCACTGGGGCGGCCCATCAATGGCTAGTGAGGGGCTGGGAGCCCTGGCCCCAGGGGATGCTCTGCTCAGGGCCAGCCCAGAGTAGAGAGGCCCCTGGGGCTTACCCTCCAGAGAAGATCTTCTCCACATAGCTGCGCATGAACTCCCTGAGCTCCAGGGACTCCTCGTCCTTGGCCGACTCCGTGCTCTGGTTGGAAGAGAAGGACTCGTTGGAGGAAGAGCGGCGGTACTGGTCCCAGGATGGGTGGGAGGGCGACTCGCCCATGTCGTTCTCGCTGTCTGCTGACTCTGTGGTCTCACTCTCTGACCCGCCGTCACCCTGGGAGCTGTCCCCATCCTGCAGCTTTGGTGGCAATGTTTCCACGGGTGAGGAGGAGGATGGTTCGGTCTCGAAGTCAATCAGTGAGCCCACAGGGACCTCCGGGGCCTCCATGGCTCGGGTGGGCTGCCAAGGAGGATGGCAGGTAGGTAGGCCGGACAACTAGATTCCCAGGAGTGTCAGTGGGAGCTGGAGACCATGCAGGAGCTTGCTAAGCACATGTGAGTTGCTTGGCAACTTCTGGCCACCAGGAATGAGTCCTCTGGGGCAGCTCACGCAGCTCTAAGGCATCTAGGACGAAAGCACACAAACACGATCAGCAGGAGAACAGCTCCTTGTGTTAGAGAAATTCAGCACTTAGAATCCAGACTTAAATGAATGAAGTAGGTATCCAATTCCCTCTAAAGAGAATTTGGGAAATCTCTACACTGCTTTCACTTTCCCCCTGTCCATTTTACTGTTAAATGTCTGGTGTGTACATGATAGGTGCTCAATAAGTATTTGTTGAATAAATGAACAAATAAACACCAACAAGAAGGATTTCTCTACACTAAGCAAATAGACTTCAAGAGTGCTACATCTGCCGGTCCTCTCCCCACTCCAGCCTGCCAGACTGAGGCCAATAAATAAAAAGTCTGACCCAGTCAGTCACCAGAGACACACCTGCGGCCCACTGTCTTAAGTCCCTCAAGACTTAGTACCAGCTCTTCCAAGAAGCTTCTCTCCAACCCTATTCAAAATAATTTACCTACTGAGTTCCCCTCTGGGCCCTGGAATTTTATTTACACTCACTTATGATCCTGTTTGTTTGGCGGGTAGATATTAGGATTTCTGTTTATCCCATTAAAGCATAACCCCAGGAGGGTGAACCAGGCCTTAGCCACCTCTGTAGCAACTCAAGTGCCCAGCAGAGTCTTGACTAATTAAGTGTTCACTGCACGTTTGCTGAATGGTGAACAGACCTGACCGTGAACATGCTCTAAGTATCTGGAGCATCGACAACACAGGCTACATAGCAGCAGAGCTGGAAACAGAACCTTTGCTTCTAAACCAGGTCTTGAGACAGCCAGTTTGGGAGTCACCTGCCAGTTCAGAGCTCCTCCCTTCCCAGTGACAAGTGGCAGACAGCAAAGCAGGAAGTAGAAGCCCCTCTGGTTGCCAAACCTCCTCTGGAAGAGCACATCCCGAGCCGGGGCCACATCCCTTTCCCCCTTTTTTACTGACCCAAATATCTAGGACAACACCTGGCTGATAGGTGGCTGCTGATATTGATGAACTAATGTGCCTTCTGAGGGTAATTCAATATCAAAACTGCATTTACTGCCTGTTAAGAGCTTAATGTTTACAAATCGATTATGGGTTCCTCCAAATTCCCCAGCCCAGGATATTTTTAAATGCCCTGAGTCAGAAAGATGGAATCACTGGCTCCTTGTCATTACAGTGGAAACAGCATACCCTCAGCAGAGTCCCACGAAGCTTTCCTTGGTCCAAAAAGGAGATACATAAACCCCAATGCAAAAGAACTTTCTGGGGCTCTTAGTAGCTTAGACCACAGCACACTACCACTCAGGGAGCTTGAGATTAAGGAGTGGCAGGCTGGGTTGAGCAGCCTAGGCTCCCCTCTCACCAGTCATGTCTCTGAGCCACAGCCTCTCTCTCTGGGCTGGGTCTCCTCATCTGACATTGAGGCCAGGTTAGCTCTCTAAGGTCCTTCTGGCAATTATTTTCTCAGATTCTCCAAAGAAGAGAAAGTCACACCTATAATAACACATCTGATATTAAAATGGAAAACACACTAGGAAAATGTTTGCAGTCACTATGGTAGGAAAATTGAGTCATCAATTTATATTATAAGTTTACCCAAATCCAACTAAAAAAAAAATCTATATTCTAATAGATATACAAACTACTCAAATAGGTAAGGCACACAAGAGGAAACACCACTGTTAAATGCTTAGACAATTCTTCAACCCATATTAAAGCAATTAGGTACTATCTTATACTACTATGTTAGCAAAAATTTAAAAATTACAATCTAGCCCTCCCAGGCATGGCTCAGCGGTTGAGCATTGACCTAGGATCCAGGAGATCGTGGTTTAATTCCCAGTCAGGGCACATGCCTGGGTTGTGGACTCGATCCCCAGTCGGGGACATGCAGGAGGCAGCCGATCAATGACGACTTTCTCATCAATGATGTTTCTCTCTCTCTCTTCCTCTCCCTTCCTCTCTCTGAAATCAGTAAAGATATATTTACATTAAAAAAAAATTATAATCCAAATGCTGATGAGGTTATGATAAAACTAGTATTCTCAAACAATCCTAGTAATATGGATAAATACTTTAAAAAGCAATTCCTATACTTGTAATTCTCATTTTTCTCTCCTCTGATCCAGAAATTTAAATGCTTGGAATTTATCTTAAGAAAATAATTCAAATCACTCAAAAACAGTTATGTGAAGAAAAATGCTCATTGCAACAGTATTTCTAATCCTGATAAACTAGGGGTAAAATCTAAATATAGTAAAATGGCAAATAAATTCTAACAATTTCATGCAATAGTAATCAGTGTATATGCAATTAGAAAACCATTAGAACATCAGTGAATGTTCACTTTATAGTTAGGTAAACAAAAAATTTTACAGTCAACAAATAATTACTTAATCCTACTGTAACCTAGTTCTCGGTTCCGAGAATATTGAGTGAATGAATTTTAATTTTACTATCATTATGATTATGTATACATATGGGAAAGGACTGGAAAAGAAGATAGGAGTGGATTATAGGGCTGGCACAGAGGTAATTTCCCCTTTTTATTTTGTTCTTTACCACAACAATACAGTTTGCAATAAATAAAGTCAGAGGGAAAAGGAAACAAGTATCTTGAAACATTTGAAGTGGTCGGAAGGGCTGTGTTTACTTACCAAAGCAGAACCCCACAGTACAGGAGGTTCCAGATCAGACTGAATTATCATGGCTATTTCTGGTCCAGCCTGAGGCTAATGAGCAGCTCTCCCAGGGCCTTCCTAGCTAGAAAATTCTGGGAGAGCATGAGTCATCCTTTCCCAGAAGTCTCATCTGTGGGCTAAGGAAGGAGGGGACAATGTGAGATGAAGAGGCACCAATAGAGGGCCCAGTCCTGAGCACCACGAGGGAGGGCACTGTGGGCTGCAGCCCTCGGGCCCTGGGGCCTCATGAACTGTCATCTCACACTGCTGCCCTGGGCCCCCTCAGCCCAGGCATCTCATGTCTCTTGGGAGAGAAGGCAGGGATGTTCCCAGAACTAAGAGCAGGGTGAAGGGGCCGTTTGTGCTAAGGACGTTGGAAGTCTTCCCACCCTTTTCTTTCAGGAAGGAAATGTAATTTCCTTCTGTGCAGGACAAGGTGACGGTCACTCTGAGCACACCAGGAACACACACCTCCAGTCACTACCTGTGTTGGGCCAGCCAGAGAACATAGAGGAAGTGGGCCCAGTGGGGGCTGACCTCACTGTTCCTGTTCAGGACCAGCGAGACACTGCCTTGAAGGATCTTGGGCCCAGTGGTGTCAGATCTAAAGGACTTTCAAAGAATGCTAAAATCTCCTTATTCTCCAACCTCGGCACACAATTTAAATTTACTTCAAAACATGTTGTTGGCCGAAGAAAACATCTGTGGATTGTGCCCCACACACGGAGGCCCCCAGACCCACTGTCGATCCAGACTCTGAGACATAGGGTTTTAAATTGCAGCGGAAGCTCTGCAGTTCCAGTGTGTGGATATTAAAAATGCTTTTCTATAGACTGGAAGCAGAACAAACCTTCCCACAATGGCACTTTTATAATTTATTTCCGAAACCTTATGACAGAAGTTTCTACCTACCCGATTAGGCTAAAATTCCAAGTCAACCTATAACTTCCAATGGCCTTAACCATCTATTCAGTCAACAAATGTTTATTGAGCAGCTGTATGAATCAACTACTGTGCAAGGAGCTGGGAGTACAGCCATGAACAAGGCAGTATGGAGCACCTGGTCGTGTGTGTGTGTGTGTGTGTGTGTGTGTGTGTGCAGGGGGAGGGTAAGAGACAGTTAATAAAATAAAAACCCAGAGACAATCTCAAAGTGACATCCTGAGAATGGTGGGAGGGGGGTTTCTTTGGACTGGGGGTCAGGGAGGCGGATATCTGAGCTAAGACAGAAGATCAGCCGAGAATACGTGAGGGTCTGCTGAGCGGAGGAGAGTGGTTTGGGCAGAGGGGACAGCCTGCACGGAGTCCCTAAGCAGTTATGACTTTGGAAAGTTCAGGAACTGGGAAAGCTGATGAGGTAGAGAGCAGCTGCTCTCAGAGAAGAGGCTGGCCAGGTGAACTGGGCCAGATGTGCAGGGAGGGCTTGTTGGACACGGTGGGAGCCTGGAATGCATTCTAAGGGTGTTGGGCAGCCATGGGAGGAATTGAGCACAGGCAGCGACCATGGAGAACAGGAGAGCAAAGGGGCCACTGGTCACATTCTGGTGGGAAGTTTCCTGGCCTTCTGCAGCCACCTCCTTCTGCCCAGCCTTTTCCTGCCACAGTGCACCCAGCTGCAGAAGGAACTCGGAAGGAGGTTGCCTTCTTGTGGCTGCTCAGCCACATCCCCAAGGGGCTTTGCTCAAACTCTGATTTCTCCAACACTCCGTAGCAACCAGAGGTAGGACTTCCCCAGCAAGTGAGCCTTGAGCAATCAGAAGAGGTTCCCCGGGGGAGAATCCAGAACTTACTGTAACTCTGCTCCTTGCCATTAACCTCAGGCAGTTCCCTCTCTTTTACTGTCCCCAAGAACTATCAGACATGCTGCTCCTCCTGCAAAATGTTGAAATACCTTGCTGGACCAGCACACATAACACACACGGGCTCATGTTCATGACTACCCAACTTGCCTTTTATCTCACAGCATCAGTTAATCAAGGCTTGGAGAGGTGAAGCAGCGGGCCCACGTATACCCGGCTCAGAAATGACAGAGCACAGGATCTAAACATAGGTCACCTACAAAGCCTGACCACCATGTTGTCTCTACAGCCACCTCCCTGATGCCTCCCCGAGGACACATTTCTAGTAGTGGAGTTGCTGGGTCAGAGGTTTGCACACCATGAACGTTAGGATGGTATTGAAAAATTACCTGTGACGATATATACTTGGGTTTTACACCTTCATTTCAACTGTAAGGTCAAAAGCTCAGATTATCCACCTCCCTGACCTCCAGCCCAAAGAAACCCCCTCTCTCAGCACTCTCAGGATGTCACCTTGAGACTATCTCTGGGTTTTTATTTTATTAACTGTCTCTTACCCTCCCCTTGCCACACACACACACACGACCAGATGCTCTATACCTTGTTCATGGCTGTATTCCCAGCTCCCTGCATAGTAGCTCAATAAATATCTCTTGACTGAATAGATGGTTAAGGCCATTGTCAGAGGAAGGTTTGGAAGTAGAAAAGAGGAAGA